GTGCTCCTGACACAGGAAGTTTTTTTAAAAGGAAGAGAGATTTATATCAGAACTCTGAAATCTTAAATTTAAATTGCAGATATCAACATGAACACATTTTTTCCCCACTGAAACAAAATTTGTATTTCTTACTCTTCCCATATCCAAAAATACACAAACAGTTAAAGCAGCCAGGATGTGGGGGCACCCGAATGGAATACAAACACTCACGGTGACTCAAGTGCTGCCACCAGTGCGCCGCCCACTGAGCTGAGGTGGGCGGCAGAGAGGACCGGGCGGGGAGCGGGTGTCTAGACCCAGCCGGGCCGGCTGCTTGCGTGGGTGGGTCAGCGGCTCTGCACCGGCATTGGACGCACAAGGAAACGCCCTGGAGACACGAGAGCCGAGGCTGCTGGCAGGTGCAGGTGCGGGCCAGACCCCGGACCCCAGGGGAGGGGGCGAGAGGCGCCCTGTGGTGTGGGGCTGCCACACCTGTGATGTGAGGTGTCCCTGCGCGCTCTGGATCTTAGAGATGCAGACAGACGGCTGGACGCGGACCTGGAGGCCGGAGAGGTGGGTGCCTGCACACCGCCTGCTGGGAGGGCCTTGGCTCCAAAGAAAGGGACGAGGCTCCCGGAGAAGTGGTTGATTCCAGGAAAGTAAAGAACGCTTTAAAAAAGGAGGGAGACAGGGGAGGGGCTTGTCGGGAGCACAGGGGAGCGGAGCTAGAAGCTCCTCGTGGCCCACAGAAAGGGCGGTGATGGCCTCGGACTGCACCTCGCAGAACCCGCGCACACCTGTGAGCCTGCGCTCGTGGGGGCACGGGATTGGCCGCCCGGAGCCGTGGGACGTGGCGCTCGCCTGCGCAGTGCAGTTCTGGCCAACGCGTCCGAGAGAAAGGAGCGGCAGGAGGCGGGAGCGGAGCAGCAGCTGGGTGTCTGGTGGTCCGGCTCCCTGCAGACGCCCAGCCGGGGCCCTGGGTGAGCTCTGTCCTGTGGGTCCGTGAGGCCTCTGCTGGCTTCATCGGGAGTGTCACGGTTCTCGGCAGGAGGTTGGTGGCGGTGCCCAGTACCCACAGGGCCGCCTGTCTCCTCCGCGCCTTCTCCCTCTTTCCCATCGCAGCGATGTCTGCTCCCTTTTGCTCCTTTCGGATTTACCCTGTTCATTTCTCCAAGAGGCACCGGGAGGCACCAGCTGAGACCCGCATCCTCACAGCCGGCTCCTGGTGGCCCTGAGCGTCCCCTGCCACACACGTGGTGAGAGGCTGTGTTCTTGTTTTCCCCCCAAGGTCTCACTGCAGAGACTCTCGGGTTTGTGTTTCGTTTCTCCTCTGCCCAGGAAGTGCGTCAGTTTCCCGATGCTTGGAGTTTTCCAGGTACCTCTCTGTGCTGATTTCACCTCTATTTCACTTTAGTCAGAGAACACACTTGTGTGGCCGACGGAGTCCTCTAACATTTATTGAGTCTTGTTTTACGGCCCCGGAGCGTCCGTCTCGGAAGCGCCCTGCGTGCTTTGGGAAGAATTCGGGGAATGTGCACTCGCTGTTTACAGAGTGTCCTGTAAACGTCTCGGCGGTCAGTGCTGTCCTGCCCTTTTTGGTTTTGCTGGTTGTCTGCTTGTTCTGACAGCACCTGGCAGCCGGTGTTGAAGTGTCAGCTCTGCCTGCACATCTGTCCCTTCCTCCTCGCAGTTCCGCTCCGTTTTTTCCCAGTGGGGGGCTCTGTTCTTCCGCGTTTGAATGTTTGTTATCGTTCTGTCCTCTCGATGGTTTAGCCCTTACCCTCGTGACAGTGCCTCTGACCCCAGGCCAGAGCCTTGCTGTCGCTCGCCCTGCCTGGTGTTAGCGTGACGGTGACACCTTCCTTTTGACGAGCACCTGCATGGTACACCTTTTCCGTGTTTTTCCTTGTCATCTGTTTATGTCTTTACACTGAAAGCAGACTCTTTGCAGGTGTGTAATGCTGGGGAAGGTCGATGTCCCCGTGTCAAACTCAGCCCCTCTCGGAACCCGTGTCGCCCTGCCCTACGTCATCCTGTCGGACTCTGTCCGAGTGGGGTCTGTCTTTTCCCCTGATCTGTGGGCTGGGGCCGGCTGTTGACATGGTAACCGATGGATGATGCAGTCGGTTTAAAGCTGCCCCCTTTCTGTTTGTCACGGCTTTTTGTTTTTTCTGTGTCCTGTCTGCCTTTGGGTTATTTTTAATGGTTGTGTTATTTTTTATCGGCGTGTTAATGGGAACCTAAGTGGCTGCTGCACACCGCGCTGTGTGCCCTGGCTGGGGACGCGGGGTAGTGCACCTCCGTGCTCCCGTTCTGGGTTTCCACGTGTTTCTTAGTCCCTCTGAGGGAAACTTCTCAGTACATTATTATTCTTGCTTTAGACAGTTCTCTCTCAGAAAGTCAACCTGAGAGGAGACTTTCAAGTTTACCTTCGCCTTTCCGAGGCTCCGCCCACCTCTGTGCGAGCAGGGTGCCTGCAGGCGGGGCTGCCCCTCTGCCTGAGAACCAGCCCCTGCGGGTCTGCCGGCCCAGCGTTTTTAGTCTCTGCGCATCGGGAGGCAGCGCTGCCTGGTTTCACCATGCGCTTGAGAGCCGACTGCATGTCAGCTGCCAGGGCATAGCCTGGGCCAGAGCTGTTCTCGTCTGAGGGCCTCAGAAAGGTGTCCCGTCCCGGGTTGTGGGAAGGGACCCACGCTGAACTGTAGAAGGTGAACTTCCCTCCGAAAGTGACTTACTGCCTGTGTGAGAGGACGGATTTCACAAGCCTGGCCAGGAGGAGACGCGACCCCGCACAGGAGCAGAAGGGCACGAGGAGCGAATCGGGGGATGAGAGAAGGGCCGAGCTGCGAGGGAAGTGGCTGGGACGGGCAGTCGGGGTTAAGCCTGCAGTAGAAGCTGTGAGGAATCAAGTGATCGCGTGGTGAACACACCCGCAAAGGTGCCTCGGTGTGAGAAGGACCCACGGCAGGCGTACCGCGTGGTGACGGAGCGAGCCCAGCCCGTCATCTGGGGACCCCTGGAGAAGGCAGAGCCTGTTAGCAGAGCGATCGTCAGCTCGGCACCGAGGAGCACGGCACGGAGGAGCACTGCCCGGGCAGAGAGGCCGGCAAAGAAAGGAGGCTCTTCCCGTACGTACATCTTCCGAAAACGTCTCTGCATCGCGAGGTTAACACAGGTCCGGCCCGATCCAGACAGAGTCCAGTAACGACGACTGCGGCACCGTCAGCCTCCAGAACTCCCTGGGAGGAAGCCCTGCCCCACTGACGGGCGTGTCCTCAGCAGAGGGCGCAGCAGCACCTGGGGGCGGGTGTGTGCGACTTTCATACCCAGCCGAGGGGTGACTTGGGTGAAGAGCCACCTGACATTTGCAAGGCTTTGCAAACATGCCATCTATTGGGTCAGCCAAAAGGTTCGCTTTGTATTTGTTTAAACTTTTGTTAGATTGTATCGTGACAGCTGTTATGTCAGTGTGCATTTAAAAATAACGTATCAAAATTGGTGGATTTTTTTGTGCAGCCATTTTAATACTAAAGATGGGAGAAAATACGCAACATTTTTAGTATATCACGCTTTATTATTTCAAGGAAGGTAAAAACAACTGAAACCCAGAAAATGATTTGCCCAGTGTACGGAAAAGGTGCTGTGGCTGATGGAACGTGTCAGAGTGGTCTGAGAAGTTTTGTGCTGGAGATTCCTCGGTGGGTGACACTCCAGGGTTGAGCGTCAGGTGCACCAGCTGAAGTTGACAGCGATCTAATTGAGACATTAATTGAGAACAGTCACCGTTCTACCACGTGGGAGACAGCCAACATATTCAGAATATCCACATCATTAAAGTTACTGGTGAAAATGAAGAATGTGCCCTTTATTTTATAGGAAAACTAAGTGGACTTTTTGGCCAGCCACTACACCACCTTCAGGAAAAGTTCCTTCTGACCAAGATATGAATAAAAATTCTGAGCCTGAAAACTATGTCACTGTGTTTCATAGGGAAGTAACCAGCTACAGAACCATAATCATTAAGATATTAGCCACAAAGTTATAGAGAATTTGAACTTGGAAACCACCTAAATAGCCTGTCTTGGGGAGTGACCCCTTCCAGGCTGCGTGGGCCAGGTCCTTCGATGCCGAGGCCCTGGGGAGAAGGAGCCTGGCCGGACTTCGTCGGGAGCGGGATTTGTCACCGCCAAGGAAGAGCTGGCAGACAGGCCTCAGATGGGCCTCAAGCTGGGGTCAGTGGGAGAATTTTCCTAATTACCATTATTTCAGGGTATTTTTATGTTCTGATTATAAAGGTAATACATGCTCATCACACGGTCTAAAGAGCCCCTGCCGGCACTGCGGTACGGAGCGGGTGCTTGGCAGTGGGAGTTCCTGGACTCGTGTCTGGGCTCTTCTGCTCAGGGACTGACGTGTGACTGGTCTGGTCCTGGGGAGAGGGTGTGACGAGCCGCCCGGTCCCGGCCACCCACCCGACGTGGCGGAGAGGCGGCTTCCTCACAGGGCCTTGCAGCCGGTGCGGCCGGGTCGTTAAAGACTGTGGAAAACTGGTGTCCGTGCAGCGCTGGGGGGGTGGGAGCACGGCTGGGAGCTGGCAGTTTGGGCAAAAGGCAAGGGGAAAACGTGTCAGGAGGTTACACATGTCGGCCCGTGGTGACGGCATTACGTGCCGCTTCACAGCGAGGACATGGAAACCAGCTGAGGAGACCGCCATCCTGGAGGGGGCCCGGGAGCAGCGGGAGTGAGGCCGCCACCTGCAGCTGGCCCTCGGGGGCGGGCGTCCCTGTGCCACGCTCTCTGCCAACGGGGCGAGGTCGCTTTCACCTTTTCATCGTGTCTGCACGTTTTACTGACCCCCCCCCCCCCCATACAGCGTTTTCTGTCAGCAGAGCCGCCCCGGTGGTCGTTGAGCCCGGTGGTCGTTAGGCTTGGTGGTGGTGGCACGAGCGAGGACAGGTCCAGGGCACCCACTAACTACGCTGTTTCCTCTGTCCCCCCACAGGCCCTCCCCTGAGCCGGAGGACACCCTGCCTCGCCCCGGCCCCGGCCCCCTGCTGGGCTTGCATGTGTCCGAGGGACTCTGGAGCCGCGTGGAGCATCGTCCCCGTGGAAGTTCCAAGCCACTGAGTCACGGCGACACTGCCAGCGATGAGCTCCCAAAGCCACCCAGGTAAGGGCCGGCGGGGCTGCCGTGAGCAGAAAGGGCGTCCCTGGTGGCAGCAGCTTATTGCGGCTTGTAGACATGTCTTCCTTGACAGTGGCCTTGCTGGTCTGTGGCCACGCCTGGTGCAGTGCAGACCGCCTGTCCTTCATCTCGGGGGCGGAGCAGGCCCTCAGGAGACTTGGCAGACCCAGGCCGAGGTGGCAGGGCTCGGGTGTGGCGCTTTCGGGAGGGGAAAGGTCACTTTGTGACTTGGAGAGTTGATTTCTCATCCAGCTTCTTTGCTTGGGGGGCCGTGGGGTGTGGGGCCTGGGCTGGGTGTGGCCCAGGAGCCCCTGGCGGCGTGCCTCTGTGAGGCCCTGGCTCGGGGCGCCACACGGGTCGGCCCTCACAGTGCCCTGGCGCTCTCAGGCCTGGATAGAAGGAGGGACTTCTGTGCGGTCACAGAGCGAGTAAGTGGCTGACTGGGATTGGGACTCGTGTCTGTGTGGCCCTTAGCTGCAAACGTGTGCTGTAGGCACGCGCCTCAGGGTTTCTTGCTCCCCTTGCAAAGCGCCACCTGCTGCCACTTCCGGCCGCCCTGTGTCAGGGAGGGGGTGGCCTGCACACACCCACCCCGCCTATCGGTGGGCGGTGGGGTCCGGGTGTCCCCCTTCGGGGTCGCCTGGGACCTTCTCCCACCTTCCTGCGGCCTGATGGGAGCGGCCTGAGCCCCGCAGGCAGGATGCCCGGTCGTGCTCAGATGTGAGGGCTTTGCGGGCGTGAGTGTTCGCCAGGGAGGGTCGCCGTGCAGAGGACGGAATCCAGTGTCTGGATCAAGGTGGGTCGGAGGTCGAAAGGGGCCCCACTCCCCTCTCGTTGTGGGGGGCGGGCCTGCTCCCTGCGTCTGAGGCCGGGGCGGGGGTGGGGGGCGCAAGTGTTTTTGTGGCGTGAAATGGTCCCTTGTGGGGGGGCTTCTGTTTTATTATTCGTGTTTCAGTGTGTTGGGAGCACTTTTTGTCAGTGTAAGTCTAGCCGACTTGGATGGCTGGGCGCTGGGCGTGGGTGTGGCTAGGACACCTGTACGTGCAGCACCCCCGCACTGGCGTCAGGCCGCCACCCCACAGTTGGTGCGCAGGCTTCTCCAAGTGCCCCTCTGTGTGGGACCGGACGTCGGACGGGACTGTGCGCCCAGCAGGCGCGGTGGCCGTGCACGCTCGCAACCTCGGGCTTGCTCCTGCGGTGCTCCAGAGACTGTCCGGGGGTTCCTCCTCCTCCTCCTCCTCCTCCTCCTCCGGCCGTGGGGGCGGGGCGCCTGGGGCCCGAGCTTGCCGGACACTCCTGTCCCTCAGGGCTCACCTTTCCTCCCACAGCAGCCCTTGGAGCTGCAGCAGGGGCTGCGCACGCCGCCGGCAGGGGGCCGGGCCGGGCTGTGGGCCGCCGAGGTCCGGTCTGCCCCAGTGGCAGGCTCATCTCTAGGGCGGTTTTCTTGTCGCTTTGGTCCCTTCAGACTTGTATTTTCTAGGAAATTGCTCCAAGTTTTTGGTCAGTTGGTGCTGTTTACCATTGTCCAGCTTTGCTGTACACTCTTTAATGTTTTTTAAAAAATATTTTATTTATTTATTTTTCGAGAGAGGGGAAGGGAAGGAGAAAGAGTGGGAGAGAAACATCAATGTACGGTTGCCTCTCGTGCGTCCCCTGCTGGGAACTGGCCTGCAACCCAGGCATGTGCCCTGACTGGGAATCGAACCGTGATACTCTGGTTCACAGGCCTGCGCTCAATCCACTGAGCTACGCTAGCCAGGGCTCTTTAATGTTTTTATTTGCATTTAGTAACTTCAGTGGACCGGGGAGAAGAGAGGTCCTTAACACTCACCCACTCGCTTCTCTGTCTTGAACTCGAAGTTTCTACCGTCCCATCTTCCACCCGAGGAGGAGCCCGTCTCTGCCCCAGCCTCCCTACCCCTGGGGGTGGGGCCGAGGGTGGGCGGCCCCTCACCTCTGAGGCTCTGTGCCCCACCCTGCCGTGCCCCCGGGGCCCCACCCTCACTCACACTGGCCGTGCAGCAGCCTCAGCCCCACGATAACGTGGCCTTTGTACTGCACGTGTCTGATTTTCCCTCCCCTGTTTTCCCTTCACACTCCCTCTGGGGGGAGGCGTGCACCGGGTTTTATGGCCCTTCTTTATGAGCCGCCAGCGCCGGCCGGCGCTCTGACGTAAAGCCGCGCGCTGCTGGGTTTTACTGCCCTGATTCAGTGTTCAGACCGCTGTGACCGGCCTGTGGAGAGGGCCTGGACTGATTCAGCCTCAAAGGACGTCTCTGATGGTGAGAAGGATGGGAGGAGGCTCTGAAACGGTGCGCTCGTTGCCCAGTCCCGTGCTCTAGCCCTTCCCTGTGGGACGTGCTGACACGGGTCAGGAAGGGCGCACAGGACACTGGGCCCCGCCTGGCAGGGCGAGCAAAGGTCCTTTCCTCCCTGCCTTTGCCCCTCCCTCTCCTCCCACAGACTGCGCCCGGCCTCCAAACAGCGTCTCTGGGAGGCGGGTAATGCAGCTGGCTCACAGGAGAACCAGAGAGTGTCCTCGGCGCCTTTCCAACCGTGCCCCGCCGGGTGCCTTCTTGGTACCAGTGCTGCCGGGAGGAACCTTGCCAGTCTCAGGGCCCATTTGGCAGGCGCTTGGGTACCGGTGTGTGGCCACGCGCTCCTGAGTCTCGATAGAAAACTGGCTGATCAGGGTGGGAACTCAAGTGTTTTCTCCCTCCCCCCCCCCCAGCATCTCAGAAGGTGGCATGGACCGGGTCTCATGAAAAGCAGAGTAGCAATCTTGAGGGGAACCATTACGTGTAAGATCAGTGATTTAATGTGGACCATTCTCTGATTTCTTAATTCTCTGTTGGTTCTGAAATACCCTGTCTGCACAAACGGACTAAACTCTTAGCACTAAAGAATCTGCACCCCCAGGGCCTTGGTGGAGTTTCACAGAGTTTGATTTCTTCAGGCCTCCATCAGGTGTCCGTCCTGGAGGCCTCCCTGGAGGTGGCTGCCCTCCGTAGGTCTGCGGGCCTGCCCCCTCTGTCCTCGGGCCTGGCTTCCTGGGCCTGGTCTCCAGTTTGTTTATTGCAACCAGTTTGGCCACCAAGGTCATTCTGTTTTAAGATAGAAGTTATCTCAGAAAGAAATATTTTATGTCCTTTAAATTGTGCTTTGCAATAATGGAATGTTTCAGGGATACCACAGTGTTTTAGGGACTTTAAAGAGAGAAAATGAATTTTGAGGACCTGCAGTTAACACAAAGACATCAACTGTGAGCTGCTGGTGACAGGTTCTGGGTCCGGAGTGAGCCCTGTGTGGCCTTGCCCCCCCCCCACCCGGGTGGGGGAGGGAGGGGGCAGGAGGCAGGAGCATAGGGGGCTCAGGCCACGAGTTCAGCCTCGTTCATGTCCAGCGGGATATGCAGCAGCTGTGGCAGCTGGAGAAGAGCTTCCAGACCCTTCCATGAAGGTGTGAGAGTCCCCACCGTTTGGGTGGAGGAGCTGAGCCCGTAGGGCACCAGTGAGAGAGACCTGGGCTGACACTGGGCACCCGCGCAGGTGTGTGTGTGGTGGGGGCAGAAGTGCCCGGCCGAGCAGGCTGAGTGGCTGTGGGAAGTGGGTGGGGCTTCAGAACCGCCTCCCTGGGAGCCTTGGCGAGCCCCTGGGCGGCACCGGCTGCAAAGTGCCCCTCCCCCGCCGCCTCCCTGCCTTCATTATCTGGGAGCTTAATCAGTCAAGGTTTGTTCTGTAAATCATGGAGACGTGAGGACTTCTTTTTCAACCTACTTCTTTTTTTAATCCTCAAATTGTGTTTTGTCTTTGAAAATCACGAAGACTCGTCGTTTTGAAGAGCCCAGAAAACTCGCTGTCAATGAAGCGCTGATGGTTGGTTTGGCACTGCTCTGAGAATTCTTGTGCGGTTTGTGGGGCATTTGCATGTGTGTCCTTTTTCAAAGCCACCGTTGTAGAAATGCAAATTTCGGAGTTCTGCCAGGCTGAATGTCGGATGATTAATGGCATTGAGATTTAAGAATGAGCTCCCAGCAGGGTTCTGACACACAAGCCCGGCATCAGAGCCCATTGAGAGCAGCTTGGCACTGGGACCCAGGAGCTGTCGCTGGGGCCCCCCCGGTGGGGGCAGGTCTGTGCGGACAGGTGTGCAGGGCTAGGGGGTGCTGTCGACCTGACTCCGCTCAGCCAGGGGCAGTTCAGACTCGCGGTCACACACCCCGGCTCCTCCTCGCTTGCCCCCGTCCAAGCCCGCGGGCGGCGCTTCCAGGCCAGATGAATGGTGACTTTGTTCTGAGTTGTGGCCCGAGGTTACTTTGTTGCTTCCTTACAACACCCTGCATGGGGAGCTCCGGAGCCGGAGCCGAGTCTCCTGCTTTCTAGCCAAGTGAATCTGTCTTCACGGCTGTGCCAGCTAGAGGCCGACCTGGAACAGAATCGGTTCCCTGAGGGCAAAGCGGGGTGTACTGGGCCCTCTCAGGAGCTGACCTGTGGACGTGCTCAGAGCTCCGATGTACCAGGGCCTTTGGTACAGTGTGGTTCATGCGGTGACAGGGGACAGTGAGCTGAGTCTGGAAGAGGGACAGGGTGGGGGGGCTACCGCCACCCGGGTTGACGCGGTCCCATGACCCTGAGTGCGGAGAAGGGATTGTGGGCCCCGAGACCCCTGCCCCTGCACCGTACCCTCCGTGGGGACGTAGGAGCGTGGTTTTGCTGTTGAACTTGTCCGCTTTTGTGCTGCTGGATGTGCGTGAGAACACTGTGAACTTTCCCTGACCTGCCACCCGCCCTGAGGAGGCTGGGCCATTTGGGAGGTTTGGGCTGAAGCTTTTCACTGTGTTTCCACCTAAGAGCCTTTTATTTGCTTATTCCCTGAGAACATGATAAAAAATGGACACCCGTAGGGAATTATAATGATAAAGAAGTATCAAATGAGATAACTAAACTTTTTAGAATTGTATCCGACTTTGTGTTCTTCACTGGCCA